AAAGCCATCCAGTACTGTTAAAATGTGTGGTATTGAAACAGATGGCTGAGAAACAAAAAGTAGCAAATCATCTGCATATAATGATACTTTATTATTGACACCTCCCTCCCGGGTTATTCCCTGAAAAATTAACGAACTTTGGTGTGTGATGAGGCTAATGGTTCAATTGCCATTGCAAATAAAAGGGGAGAAAGAGGACATCCCTGTCTGGTCCCCCTGTAAAGAGAGAAGGCCTCAGAGAAGTTGTCGTTTGTACGTACTGATGCGACTGGAGAGGAGTAGATAAGCTGCGTCCATGCTATAAAATGTGGTCCAAATCCAAATTTACTAAGGGTTGTAAAAAGATATTTCCACTCGACATGATCAAAAGCTTTCTCAGCGTCCAGAGATACCACCATCTCAGGACACACAGAAGACGAAGGGTCATAGATCACATTAAAAAGGCACCTTACATTAAAAAAAGAATGTCTGTCTTTAATGAAACCAGTCTGATCTGAATGGATAATAGAAGGTAGGATAGACTCTACTCTAAGGGCAAGGACCTTAGCAAGGACTTTCACATCCACATTTAACAATGAGATGGGACGGTAGAACGAACACTGTACAGGATCTTTATTCTTTTTTAATATCAGGGAGACAGATGCTTGGCGGAGGGAAGGAGGAAGAATACCAGATTTTAACGATTCATTGAACATATTCAGCAGCAGAGGTACAAGCTTTGAGGAGAATTTCTTGTAAAATTCTACGGGAAACCCATCTGTCCCTGGACATTTCCCACACTGCATAGAGCCAATTGCTTTGCTGAGTTCCTCCCCAGAAAGCTCTCTATCCAAGATTTCCCTCTGATCTGCAGTGAGAGTTGGAATATCAATAGACTGAAAGAAAGAATCCAGGGCATGGGAATCAAAATCCTGATTATGGTCAGATTTATATAAGTTGCAATAAAAATTCTTAAAACTACAATTGATATCCTCAGGATCCGTGGTTATGCCCGATGGTGTAGATATTTTAGGGATAAAACGAGATGTGCTTGTCTGTCTAAGCTGATGAGCCGTATCTTAGTAGGTTTGTCCCCTGATTCATACACAGTATGTCTAAATTTTAACAGCATACTTTCTGCTTGCTCTGTTGCCAGCCTATCAAACTCAGATTTGAGAATAAGTATTTTTCCATATAACTCCGGAGAAGGGGAAGAGGAATATTCATCGTCACACTTTGTTATTAATGTGAGTAGCTCAGATTGCCGAGTCATACGTTGTTTCCTCTGGTACCCAGAGAATGATATAATTTGACCTCTGATATACCGTATTTTCGGCACTATAAGGCGCACTAAAAAGCCTTTGATTTTCTTAAAAAATAACAGTGCGCCTTATAATCCAGTGCGC